GAGAGAGAGAGAGAGAGAGAGAGAGAGAGAGAGAACAAACTTTCATTTTGACCTTAAATTGCAAACCACTAAGATGACTAACACTGCAAAGTGATTACTTATTTGAACCCATGTATATTAAGCTGAGACATCAGCCTGTGGGAAGACACGTAGGACTGGTAAATACAGGGTATGGAAAAGGCATGCTAGGAAGAAGGGTCCCGGGTCCCGGTGAAGCTGTGATTGATGGAGCGTGGAGTGTTGGAGGACATATGGGGACATGGCCCACCCCTTAGAGCTGCCACTTCTCTTGTTCTCTATCTCAGGGGCTCTGAAATGTGGCATTCAGGCTGGGTAGCCTCCTTCTGTGCGAACCATCCCCCTGGGAGTCGAGAATTCACACATGTCTTGTTTCCACACAGAAGAAGCAATTCAAATTTAAGTTGGGCTTTTAACTTAACAATTCAGTAATCTGTGCATCTCGAAGGAGGACAAAGTGGAGGCCGCCCGCTCTGTTCTTTGTGTCTATATTCTCACACATTCACACGCACGAGCCTCATTTGTGGAGATGTCTTTGAAATGTATTCACTGAAGATAATTATAGAGGTCTAACACTTCTGCTCTTCAATTAATGCTATAAAATTAATGGTCCTTCATTTTTACATCCTATGCAAATGATGGTGTCATCTCCAACTGTAAGCCTCTCTGCTCACACGCTGAATATGATTAGTGTCCCTTTAAGCTGAATTAGAGCATGTGACCTTCTGGGGTATGTCAGGAGTGAAACCTCTGTGTGCTTGTTTCCAAGGTTTTTCATTATGCAATGTTCTTAAAAAGCAGAATTTCAGAGTTGACACCAAAAACAGGTTTCAGTGACTGATGTTTTGAGGTTGTGGCCTTAGGAGAGGACAGACAAGGCTGGAGGACAGCTCATAAATCTACTATTTTCACCTGAGATGTAGGATGTACCATCCTTCACAGTATGCGCATTTCCAAACAAAGGACAGACAGATTCTGTAAGATAATGAGGCAGCTACATTGGAAATGCAGAGCGATTCAAATAGTGTAGCCATTAGAATACCCTTTGCAAACAGACCCAGGGGATCCCTGGTCAGACAGTAGATGTATTTTCTCGACAGGAAGTTCTGATAGCGAAAAATGGCCAACACTGTGACTTAGAAAGGAGGAAATTCAGGTGTTATCATTCTTTTATTTCAAGGACTCGAGTCAGGAGCTCGTGACTGTGCTTCCCATGAGCATGTAGGCATCTTGCAGGCATCATGTATGCACATCCATTCCACGAGATGCATTTCTCTGTGTTAGGAAGTTTGGATGAGTTGAAAAAAACTACAGAGCTCAAGTGCACTCCCACTCACAGTCAATATTCTCACTCACATGGAGAGCTTTCCTCAGGTGATGGGATAGCAGCTGGTGTTTGAGTCCTCGGGAGAAGTACACGGTTAAGTTTCAAACGACAGGAAGCCCCGGAAAGCGACAGAGGATAACAGAGACAGGGAAACATCAAGAACCCTGACCAGAGTAGGGAAGAGCGTTCCCTCAGTAAACAGCTTGCCACACAAGCATGAGGGCCTGCGTTCCATCCCCGGGATCCACAGAAAAAGCTGAGCTCAGCGGTGCAGCCATGTGCCTGTAATCCCAGCACCGGGGAGATAGAGAGAGGAAGATCCCGGTCTAGCCAGTCAGGAAGCCCCAGGTTCAGTGAGAGATCCTATCTCAAGAAAATAAAAATAAATAAAAATAAAATAAATACCGTAGAGAAGCAATTGAGGAAGATACCTGATGTCCAGCTCCTGCTCTTCACAGTTGCTCCCACACGTGAACATGTCCAAACCCATACAATACACACACACACACAGAGAGAGAGAGAGAGAGAGAGAGAGAGAGAGAGAGAGAGAGAGAGAGAGAGCTGTAAACATATCCTGCTCCAGGAGGGACACACAGGATTGCAAGCAGATTCAAGACATGGGGGCCAAAATTGAGTCTCACATTGACGAATCCTGCAGTTTCTGGCAGCCAGGATTATTTGTATTATTGAACATCTTTGTAAAGCCAAGTTCAAAGACAACATTCCATTTAGCCTTTGTGCTCTGCTCAATTGGGTGAGACACAATTATTCAGAAATTTTTGCTTTGCTTTGCTTTGTTTTGTTTTCTGTTGTAAGTGAGAATTCCTTGGCCACAGGATTATGGATTAGAAGTTGAGAAAATTCAAATGCCCCAAAAAGGGCAGGTTTGCAGTGGGGGTGATGAGAGCTGAATACAGGGAAAACTGGGGACTTCTATACTCAGGGTGTGTTCCATTTCACCCAAATTTAAAAGTCATGTAGAGTATGGGGCATCATATTCTTTGATAGTGTTTTCTGAACAATGGTAGATGGACCAGGCAAGCAGCATTCCCAGTGCCCTGCTCAGTCACAGAAGGGCATTTGGAGAGAGAGAGATGCAGCACACTGTGGGATGATGTAGGGTAGGCATGGGAGCTGGCCTGGAAGTAGGGGCTAATCAATGTCTACTTACAGGAAGGTGGAGAAGAGCTCATTCGTCAAAACTCATCTGAAGGCAAGCCCTGAATATACTGGGATGGAGAAGGATTTTAGCAAGCCGTCCAAAGCAGGACGTGAGACCCAGGAATCTAGGCTAGAAATGCCATTACCAGTTGCTCTGAAGAGAGGGAGTGAAGAGAGTGTGGCAAAGTGGGTTGGAGAACATGGGGGCCAGAGAGAGACCAGGAACAGGTAAGAGGTTGTGACCCATGGGGCAGCAGCCGTCAATTCCCTTTACTGCTTACTATTATTTGTGTGCGTGAGTGTGAGCTGCACTCATGCCCATGCACACCCATAGGACACTTGTTGTGAAGGTCTGAGGACAACCACATTTTGGGAGACACCTCTCCTACCGCCATTTCTTTTGGGAATCGAACGCCGGTCCTCGGGTTGGTACCGCAAGTATCTTTAATTCCATCAGCCATCTTGCTGGCTCTGCTCCTAGTGAGTGGTAAAAGTGACAAAGCTCACAAAATGCTGACTGGGTGTGAGCGACAGTTTGCGAAAAACCCTGAAGGAGCTGGGTTTTATGTCTAGTGGATGTAGATGAAACAGGCAGTTCACAAGTGTGTAGGGTTCATGAGGAGAGTGAATTTGAGCTTAGAAGACTCAAAGAAAGGACGGAGGCCTTGAGTGGCAGCGAAACTAGCTTCGAGACAAGTTTGTTTTCTTAAACAGAGGTAGAGAGGGGCCATGTATGAATAACGTGGGGAAGGTTGCCCATTACTTGTGTTCTTTGTATTAGAAATGTTGTCTATGATTAAGAGGAAACATGGAAGACTCCACTACAAGGACACAGAAATAGAGAAGCTAAAGAAGAAGCAAGTTTAATTCTCTGTGTGGTTAAGGCTGGCCACTCACCAGGTCAACCTGTAGAACCCATCAAGGCTAAAACATACATAATTCTATCCAGACACACTCCATCGGACAGTGAATTTATCTGAGTGTTTGGGACCATTCCCAATTAAGTAAACAAATGAACACAACCCCAACCTTACAGGACCAGCTAAGGGGCTGTCTCTAGAAATACCATTTTCCCAAAACAAATGGTCTCCTGACAACCAAAGGCAATAACACAATCTTGTCTAGACTCCTGCTTTGTGCTATAAATTATAATTCTTTGAGATGAGGAAAATTTGAATTGGGATTAAAATGTGAGATTAGCATTCATTTTTAAGGCTTGAGAATGGCACCATTATCATATAAGATAGTGTTTATGTTTTAATAGTCTCATAATTAAGTATTTATATTTAAGAGGCATGGAATAAAACGACACAGCAACTAGGATTTGTGTTTAAAAAAACATTTAAGCAAAAAGAAGGATGGATGGAACAAGAGGTTCAGAATCACAATTGTTGAACCAAGTCAAGGACCACAGGCAGTTGTACTATTAGAAAATAGTTGTACTATTTTCTCCATGTGAAGCCTGTCTGAAATGTTCACCACAAAAGTTAAAAACTAGTTCAGCCCAAATAAAACTAGTTTCTTACAATTTTCAGTGCCTGAAACATCTCTGTCTAGGTGGACAAACATCTCTGTCTAGATGGCTCTCATCTCCTACAACTCTTCCTTTAGGCTACGCCTAAGAGTCAGCCTACATCTATGAACCACAGATACATCACCAGCCCTTATGTATCAAAGCAGCATCAAGAAAGCAATGGGGTCTAGATTGTGTCCTCTAGGTTCATGTTAAAGACCCAACCCTAGTGCTCCAGAATGTGTGTCTACAAAGATGTAATTAAGGTAAAGGAAAAAAAAAAAGGCTTATGTAGGCATGCGGGAAGCTGTCTGTTTGGGAATATGGGATTTTCAGGAAGGTGATTAGGTTAGAGTGAGGCAGTGGGTAGACATTAGCCTGGTATAGGTGGTGTTCTTGTGATAAAGAGAAACACCAAGGGACAGGAGCAAAGAGGCAGCAAGAGGGTGGCCGTCCATAGACCAGACACAGAGGCCTCGGAGGAGACCAGTCCCACCAGCATCTAGATCACAGACTTCAACCTCCAAAAAACGAAAGGAAGCTTGTGTGGTGTGGCCCTCCAGCCCGTGTCCCGGGCACACTGGTCCAAGAGGGGACGGAAATGGGGGACCTGCCTCTGTTGAGGCTATTTCCCTTGTCCTGCAGGCACTTCACTCTTGGCTGGGATTCTGTGTTTTCCTCTTCCTCGTCTTCTCTTGGTTCAGGAGTACAGGCGTGAGACTGTGGCTCTGGGCTGTCTTACATTTGCCAGATCTGTGCCTGAACCACGGACGGTCACTTTCCTGAGGCCGCGTTGGTCCGTCCAGTGCGTCTCCTTCCAGAAGGTGCCACCTCATCTTCAGACACAAATTACCCCTGGGAGGTTATGGAAATTTAAAAATAAATAAATAATAAACTACTTGAGGGATTACAGTACAATAGTAGCCTATAATTCCACTCTTCATCTCTACTGAAAGAGAAACAGTGCCCCAGTACGGAAAGCATTTATTATATCTTAAAAGAAAGCTCTTATTTCTGGTTCAGAGATTCAACATGGCATTTATAATTATATTCTGGAGTCAATACTGTTAAAAATTTGGGCTTTCATGCTAAAAGTGATTTTTAAAAAAACATATATAATTACCTACTAATTCTCCCCAAATGGTGTGACTTGCCTTTTTTTTTTTAGATCATAACTCATCTTAAACAATCTATTTTTTTTTCTTTTTGAGGAAGTCTAAAATAACACATGGGTGGCTCGGCCTTGGCATAGCTAAACTCTGGAACATTAAACTGAAGTCATAACAATGGGTAATATTTTAATATAATGGAAAATGATCATTAACTTTTCTAGACAGGAAGGAAATGAATTTTCCTCATTGTACACATTCTGAGGAAAAAATGAGGACAAGACTATTTCAAAGGATGTTCTACCTCATTCAAATGGGCTTTAAGTACCATCCTGACAATAGACTCAGAGCCTGGTGTCAGCAAACTGAGCAAATAGAGTGACTGAGGAAAGAATGAGGCGTGATGCCTCTCCAAAACATATGCAGATGAACTTGAGATTTCAGAGGATGATTAATCCTACACAGCAGTCAAGTGCCTTCCCAAGGGTCTCTCTCAGATCTCAGGTAAATCGCAGTCTTTATCACATCCCTTCCCCCCTGACTCAAAGCGAATATCCTATTAAGCCTTCATAAGCCCCTTTCAACTTAAAATGGGACATAGTAATATTAAAAATGTGCATTTATTAAATATTCTATGAAAGTCACAAAACCTTCAAAAATATTTTCCTTAGACACCTGGGACAGTAGCTGTATTTCTGAAGCTGCGAGTCTCCAAAGTTCCCATTGCTCCAATTTCAATTACAGCCTTCCCACCCCGCTCCCAGTGAGTCTTGTCTTGTTCTGCTTTTTCTAGTCACCTCCATTTATTTCCTTTTTGTTTTTTCTGTGACTGCATTCTTCAACTATCCAAATATAAACAGTTGTATAATAGACACACATTCCAGGACTCCCTTCCAAACACGGGCTGCCAAGTCAAATCAAAGGGGACCAGAGACCAGACTCATTATTCCAGTGATCACACACTAGTTAAGGAAATAACAGAAAGCCAGCCAATATTTCAGCAATCAGGGCGAAGTGACCAGCCAATTTTGTTTCCTTCTCTTTATGTTTTATCATTTATGGAACTCACGGCTATAGCCACAGTGTTCCGAGGATCCCTGGGTCTCTATTGAACTCACTCTGGCAGGTAACTATTACAGAAATAGACATAGGCTGTCTTCCTCCTGCCCCCATCAAAGAGCAGCTCATTGTTTCACGGATTTGGAACCAGTTAACCCACCCAAAGGAGTAACGTTGCTCGCTGCCCTTATGGTACTGAGTGTGTGCCCTTCAGTCGACAGGTACTCCTTCCAGCAAGGCTGGCCATGTACAACAGTTGTATCTCGGTGTCCCTTAAGCTGAGTGTCATTTGAAGCTGGCAAGACTATTTGCACTTTGCATCACTGATTAGAACTTTGTCACAGATCAACTTTCTGTCCACCTGCCTTGCTCTAGTCTCCGATGAAGCCCTGGGGCGCAAATGTCTGCCGGGTGAGCTCCCTGTGACCCTGGCAAGCCCTGGATGGGCCCACCCTCCCCTGGGGAGAAAAAGAGAATACAGAATTCTGAGGCATTCATGAGCCTCATTCCTGCCTTTCTATCAGCTCTCTGCTTGGCTTCCCTCTGGCCTGGGGTACCACAGCCTGGCAACAGAGCAATGTTTGTGCCTGCATGATGTCCTGTGATTAAGGGGGGGAAAATTAATCACCACCTCTCAAATAGCAAAACAAACAAACAAAAGCCCAAGCTTTTAGAAAAGGAATTCAGGCTTGTATCGTGAATGTTAGGATTCCAATGGAGTCTGTAAAAAATGAAAATGATTGCTCATGAGAGTAACTTAATTTACCAAATCCTTCCTCCTTTCCCATCCTCCTCCTCTTTTTTAAATCAAGGTCTTTAGCTTCGTAATAAAAGGCAAAATTGGGTCAGAGTTGGAGAAGACTGAGAAAGAATAGAAAAGATAAAATTAAAAATAAAAATGTCTACCATCCTTTTTTTCCGTAGACTCTTCCACTGCACACAGGAGACGGGTCAACAGGTCTTCCAGTCACCATCTCTCACTGAAACAGGGTCAACAAACATGACACACTGGAGTCTCTCTCTCTCTCTCCGCCCCCTCTCCCCCCACCCCCCACCCCTGCCCCTCCACTTTTCACTGTGGTATAGTAAATACAGAGATGCTGAGAAGTAGGAAATGCCAAAGGAAAACTAGGCAGGAGAGTGCAAGAGTGCGGCGGATGGGGCAGCATTGTGAGGAGACAGTGGAAATCATTGACCGTGCAGAGTCTGAGCGCCGGTCCTGGAAATCATCTGCAAAAAAACGCACCAACTCCCACTCCGGAGTACAGCACTGCTGACGCGCGCAGTAATGAGAACAAGAGGGACAAACCCAACATGTTGGCTGCCGATGCTCATTCACTCTTCACTTCCGTTCACAGAGCATCCTGGCAGGCATCCACAGCGCCATATGCTTTCGGGAAGTGGGGAGGCTGAATGCTGTGGCTGTGGGGAATTGAGCCTTATTGCTTCATAAGATTCCTGGTGGTAGAGCTATTCTGAACAAGAACACGTCCCCATAGGTGTGCTCCAGGAATTGCAGAATAAAGAAGGGACTTTGGAGAAAGCCTTACACAGTTGGGTAGTGGGATCCCTGAGAGGCAAGGCTCCTGCCCCAAGTCCTACAGTCTGCAACTCCTGACCACGTTTGAGTCTTAGGCTCCTGGCTTTAGTCTGTGGCTTTAAGAGGGATGTTATGGGTGTTGATTGCAGTGCAGTGCCTCCAATCCTTTCAGTAAATCTAGGATTTTTTTCTTCTCTTAATGCCAAAGAATTAATATTAATAAATTAATGAAGTTAATTAATTAAATTTAAATAATTAATAAAATTAATAAAAAGAAAGAGGGGGAGAGAGAGAAGAATGAGGAAAATGCAGGCTGTGGAGTAAAGTAAGTTTCTGCCCAGTGTCAACAGTGACACAGTTTTGGAGTTCAATTTCCTAATCTGTGAACTGGGGGCTAGTCACCGTCACCATCCACATCTTACACAGAATCCATGCACCAAGCATACCAAACACATGCAAGAAAACAAAACAACAACAACAACAAAAGTCCACAATTCCAGAGCGAGCTCTGTGTGTAAGAAGCCGTCAGTGGGTCCGAGACCTGGCATGGCGAAGCATCCTGCCTTATTGAGATTTGCTCGGCTGTCCTTAGCCCCAGAGACTGAATTCCTCAGGCTGAGGCCTCTTGTATACGTATGGACACACATGTGCTCAAGTCACACTGTAATGAGTTGGCTTCCCAAAATTATCTAAGAAAATCAGTTTCTAAAGAGGTGTTTTGTTACAGGCCCCCCACCCACACCCCCAGACCTTAGCACAACTGACTCCATGATGGAAGTACCATTCAGGCCTTGGAACCCAGCATGTAGGCATCAACGCCTGCCAAATTAAGAACAAAGACCTAAACCTTCAAAGTCCATGGTTTTGAGAAAGTCCCTCAATGTGCTAGCCTTGCTTTTTGGCTTCTGTAGTTACGCTTTTAGCTAACTGTTCTTACTAACTGGAGTGTGTCAACACAGGATGCGGTTTTGTGCTTAAGAGTTCACCCTGAGAAAGGCTCAGGACTGTGCTCAGGCCAGAACAGGCCCTGTAGTTTCCACTCAGCCAATAGAGACTTTCTATTGGCTTGAGCCTGTGCCTGAGCGGTCTTCTCTGGTGGGTACCTCACAACAGTTTTAAGAAAGGAAATGATGACCGTTATACCTAATATAGAGTCCTGTGTTGATTCTTGATGAAATAAATAAAGAGAATGGTCCAGAATGAAAGAATAATTTCTGGAGAGTAGCTGGGGGCCTGGGAAGATGGCTCAGTTGGTAAAGTAAGTGCTTACATTGCTAACAAGAGAACCTGAGATACTTGATCCCTAGAAATCACACAAAAATGCCAGGCTTGGGGAGGTGAGAGCTGGGGAAACTGAGGCATGCAGACCCCTGCTGCTCAATGACTACCAAGCCTACTGGGCAGGCTCCTGACCAAAGAACAGTATCTGACATTTACCTCTGGCTTCACATGCATGTGACACACACACACACACACACACACACACACACACACACACACACACACACATACACTCATGCATATGCACACACTTGGCTTAGATGAGACCAACTTTAAGATCATGAAAGGCAAGTCAAGGCTATGACCTGAGTTTTCCCTCCCCGTTCCTGTGAGTTTAGGATCCTGTTCTCAAACTGTGACCCCAAGTTTGAGTTACTTAATTCACTTCTGCCGGATATTTTGTCGCAGCAGAAAGAAAAGTAATTAATAGAGGGAAAAGAAGAACCTTCTCTGGAAACATGGCAGTTCCTTTGTGAGCATGGAGAGCAGACAGCCTTTGCTTTAACGTGCTCCTTGTCCTGGATGGGCCTCTGGTAAAGGCAGAGAGCCTTGTTGCTGTGGTCTCTGGGAGGGGACTACACAGATGCATTCATGAGCACTAGGCCACAGGCACGCATGTGCATCCCACACTGTGGCCTCCCTGCCTTTGTTGAGTGGGCTCTTCTGATGCACACCCCCAAGCCAGCAAAAAATGTGAACTCTGTTTTTGTAGCCTCTCTCCTAAGAGTGCTTTTCATTTTGGAGCCGGCCTGATAAAAAGGGCCACTTCACCAGCACCACAACTGGCTCATTTCTTTATTGGAATTATTCGAAGTTGCACCCTTGGTGATCCCATCACTCAGAGATTCAAAGAGAGGGAGAAAGCAAGTAATTAAAATGCATAAAGCTGAAAGGGCAATTACTGTCATACACCATGATCAATAAAACAACAATCTAAAAAGGCAAGCTTTTCACCATACCCTGAGACTAGCATATAGGGGCTCTGTCGTGTTTGGGAAAGGCAAGAAGTTCCTAAGTAAGTGCCACAAAGACCACACACACCTTTCAGAGGCTTCTGCACGCCAGCAGAAAGAGTGTGGACATGTACATCAAGGCCTTTTATGAAAATGTCTCAGCAGAGGTCATATTACAGGCAGGGCTGTCAATCCTCTTCCCCCCAAACACATGTAAGTATGGGGTTCACAAGCCAAATATACTTCAAGAAAACATGGTTGGGGTTGGAGGGAGAAGAAGAAGAAAGCTAATCTTTATAAAAATTAACAGTTGCCAAGATTAACTATTGCTCTCGACTGGGCCAGGCCAGCTGGGTAAGCTGCCTCTTAACCACTTCTATTCAGGATTCTAAAGTCAACACAATGTTCTAAGGCAGTGGTTCTCAGCATGTGGGTTGTGACCCCTCTAGGCTCCACTGACCCTGTCATGGGGGTTGCCTTAGGCCATGGGAAAACACAGATATTAATATTATGATTCATAACAGTAGCAAAATTACAATTATGAAGTAGCAATGAAAATAATTGTATGGTTGGGGGTCACAACATGAGGAACTGTATTAAAGGTCTGAAGGCAGCATTAGGAAGGTTGAGAATCACTGTTCTGTGGCAAGAGATAAAAGGTGACTTAATACCCTAGGTTGAATGTTTGACTTCTTTAAACCTGACATTGAAATGGAATTGCCATGGGGCTAGTGAGATGACCCAAGGAAGAAGTTAAAGTTATTTTTTTAAGGAAATTCTTTTATTTTTAAAATTAGGAAAAAACTGAGATCTAACTATCATTTTTTTATTATTAAGAAATTTTCTATTCATTTTACATACCAACAACAGATCCCCCTCTTCTCCCTCCTCCCGCCCGCCCCCCAGCCTTCCCCCACAACCCACACCCCATTCCCACCTCCTCCAAGGCAAGGTCTCCCATGGGGAGTTAGCAGAGCCTGGTACAGGGACAGAGTGGGAGAGCCAGGAAAGAGATACCATGATAAATGGAGACATCATGGGGATAGGGAGAAACGGGTGCTAGGGAAGTTCCCAGGAATCCACAAGGACAACTGCAGCTTAGACTACTAGCAGTCGTGGAGAGGGTGCCTGAACTGGCTTATTCCAGTAATCAGATTAGTGAACACCCTAACTGTCATCATAGAGCCTTCATCCAGTAACTGATGGAAGCAGATGAAGAGATCCACGGCCGGGTGCCAGGCCGAGCACAAGGAGTCCAATCAACAAGAGAGAGGAGGGATTCTATGAGCAAAGTTAAAGTTCTTGATGTTTAATTCCCAGAAGGAGAAAACTGACCCAACTATTTTTCCTCTAATTTCCACATTTATGTGCACCATTTCAGGTACAAACATGTACATGTGCATGTGTACGCGTGCACACACAAATAAGTAAATAAATAAATAAATAGATTTCATTGTCAATAGTAATAGAGGTGAGGTCTTTAGGATGAGGCAATGGGACCATGGGAACTCTACCTCAATGAATGAAGCTAATGCCTTAGTAACATGGTTTTCCTCTCTAGCTCTTCTGCCGTGTGAAGCATTACTCCCCTCCAGAGAACACAGTGACACCACCTTGGGAATGGAGACCATGTCCTCACCCGATACCAAAGCTGCCCATGACTAGACAGTGGACTTCCCAGCTTCCAGAACGTTGAAGAAATGCAATTTTGTTCATTAATAAATCAGCCAGTCTTTGCTCTTCTGGTGCAGTGGCATGAGTGGTCTATGACAGGTACACAGCAGCAATCTTAAATCTGTCCACCTTCTTAAAGTCAAATTTGTCATTTAGGACTATACTAGAAAGGTACTAGAAGATGCTTTTTGCCATGGGTCTCATAAGTGGTTGAAGGCAAAGCAACAATTTTGAAAGGCAAGCTTCTTACTACACATGAGGCTAGAACCTATGTGACATGTTTTGGAAGTTCAGGACCATTTTCTCCATTTAGCTCCATAGGTCTTGTAAATCTCTACTCAATACTTTGAGACATCCTTTGGAAGAGAGGGACCCTCTAGCCTGATTAGTGTCATCTGGGACCATTGGCCATCCAGGTATCAGCGCAGCGTGTCCACTGTGAGCAGAGCCTTGTACTGCTGTTGCTGAAAGGAGAGAGGCAAATAGAAACAGAGCCTGCTTCTTACCTCCCCAGTGCTGATAACCTACCGGCATCAACAGGACAAGCAGAGGAGAGACCAAAAGATTATGCCCATCGCGGAAGTACTGTCCCCAACTCCACCTCCATCTATGTGCAATTCTGTGTCTCTACAGCTTTTCAGAGTCTTGGAATTTCAGCCGATTCCCAGCCCATGCTTGCTGCATTTAAGACAAAATTAGAGAAAACCCAAACACAAATAATGTAGTACATATGGCGCCTAACTGTGAGACCAAACAAAGCAGTCGATTAAATAACTTCTGGTAGCATGAATGAGGTTAGTTTGGCAGTGGACTAGGGAGGAGGGTAGGAAATGGGATTCTTTAATGGAGACAGGGATAGAAATGTCTGAATTCACACGGGGAAATAACATGAGGATGGCTTGAACAAATGGTGTCTGTCTTGGGGAGCTCCAGTTTTAGATATGGTGTATTTTGGGAACCTGTGTGAGCAGGCAGATTGGTGTCCAGCCACTTCCTGTAAAAAGGCATCCTCCTTCTTTTGCCCATGTGTGTACTGGCCAAAGGGAAGGAAGGAAGGTAGAGGTCTGTGGGGTGAAATGGAATGCTGGAATGTTCTGAGCTTCGTTGGGAAAGAACAAGCCACCTGACATAGAACTGGGAGTGGTTAACAGAGGTTCAGTGGGTTGGGGGAAGGCCTGGGATAACTTCCGGGAGTGTCTTTATTAAGTGATGGCTTGCCATCCATAGGTCTAGATGTGACCTAAGCTATTAAGACCGTGAAGCAACTGTAAGTAGAAAATTATTAAGAAAAATGAGCACTTATGCAAAATTAAGCAAGAACGAAACTTGGGGAAATGACTTGCTGCTGGTTGGATACAAAATGTCTCCAAAGACTTATATACAAAGGCATATAAACTAAAGGCTTCATCTCACAGCAGGATTTAGAGATAGTTAGATCACGAGGACTCTGATGTAATCAGTGGGTTGATCTTTCCATGGATTCATAACTTGGGAAACCATTGGCAGGTATTGGAAACCATGGGAGATGGCCTTGATTGGAAGAAGGAGGTTGGTAAGGGTATGGCTTTTAAAGGATACATCTTATCCCCACCCACCCTTTTCATCTCTGCTTCCTGGATGTTAGGAGGTGAGCAGCTTTCTTCCACAATGCCCTTACATGATATCTCAGTTTCACCTCAGGTCTATGGTCAGCAACAGACCCTACTGACCATGGACTGAAATCGTGAGAAAAATGAGATCTTTCCCCTTTTCAGCTGGTTTTCTTAGGTCTATTGTCACAGGGACAAGAAGCTACCTAACAGCCATCCTCACATGCATGCAGAATTTACTCTTTCAGTGTGAAAGGTTATTGGTGTTGGCGAGGCTTCCTGCTTTTGGCCAGACTTTCCCACTGTGAGTACACCAAATTCCTGTCAAAGAATAGAATGGATCCCATGCTAGGGTCTGGGAGGGGAGCCTGATGGGAGAATGAAGAAGCAATTTCTTTCTATAATTTAGGTATTTTCCAGTCAGCTCACACTTGCAAATCCTACAAGCATTTCTTTTAGATTTTAAGATGTTGGAACTAAAAGAAAAGGAGTCCGAGTCCCTTGCAAACCTCGGGGGCTGTTTTATTCTTTACTAGTCATCCACATTGCTTATATGAAGTATTTGCTTGAAGGAAGTAGCGTTTGGGAAATATCTGGATCCACTGGTTTGGTTTTGTTTTGGAGACAATCTAATGCAATTCATTTGTAATAGGATTTGACCTGCACTAAATTTGAATGTCTGTGTTATTCAATAGACTTAATGAAGTTTTGTTGTTGAGGTACATCTAATATTGTACATGTCTTCTGTGGACCCCAGGTGGAAATGATGAGGCAGGCTAATAATACTAGCATGCTTTATAAGAAGGCATTAATTTATCGGGGAGTTCACATATGATCTCTTTAATATTTTACCTTGGGGAAGGCTGAAGGGAGAGGAGCAGCTTTAAAAACCCTATACATATAAAATCAGCCCCAATATAGGACCAGCTTCATTAATGCCTGCCTGCAATCATTTTCAAAGATGGCCCCCTGCACTGAGTCACATCTCTCCTCATATATGCATCATGGAGTTTCTGGTTCTGGGAGCTAGAAGATTCCGTGGCCTGCTGTTGCCCACATATGACACGAGTGAACATTACACTCCAAGCATAAGAAAATCTGCAATCTCCTCCTGGTCCTTTACACTTTCTAGGGCATCCTCTCTTGGAATGAGCTGCGAATGTTAAGAAGCCCAAACCACCCAATGAGAACACACATAGTAGCTCCAGCTGACAGTCACCAATGGTCATCCTTGGACTTCTAGCTCTGTTGAGTCTTCAGGTGACTCCAACTCCAGCTACCATCTCACCATAGTGGGATGATATAGCTTGAATGAACACAAGGGGGCTGACTACAGAACTGTCAGACATGTTGATAGGTTATCTATAGCTTCTAAGCTTCAGGGTAGCCAATGGCATAGCCATGCCTAAACAGAATGCCCTCCAATGCTTGACTAGATATGCTACTTGGGGACTTGATCCTTGAGTTTTCTTGTAAGCATCATCTCAGAGGAACACATCAATGTCTTTCAAGGGCAATCCCCTCCAGTGATCTGTAACTAAGGTCACTTCCAAAGGTTCTCTTACCTCTTACATTGCCACACTGAAAACCAAGCTCCTAATATTTAAAAGCTTGGGGGAATACTCAAGTCATGGCAAACTACAGTGCTGTGTGTCACAATTTTAAAAAGCGCTTTTATGTCCATATCTTTTAAAAAAAAATTTATTTATTTAATGTACGTTGGTTTTTGCCTGCATGTATATCTGTATGAGGGTGTCAGATCCCCCGGAACTGGAGTTACAGACAGTTGTGAACTGCCATGTGGATGTTGGGAATCAAACCTGGGTTCTTTGGAAGCACAACCAGTGCTCATACCACTGAGCCATCTCTCCAGCCCTTATTTCTGTATCTGAATTTAATTTCTTTATAAGGGGAAACAGGTTTTCCCAAACACTTCTTAAAATTTCATTTGTTTTTGCAGCACTGAAGGCTGACCCTAGGGCTTTGCATCTTCTACCTCTGAGTTAACCTCCAGCTTCCAAGTATCCTTAAAAAATCCTCCACTTACTATTTGTAGTTCAGGGAGATGTCCCCTGCCTGATGGGCACTGCTCTGGCACATCACATCATTTTTGTTCTATGTGTATAAAGAGACAAGAAGGCAGTTAAGCTCTGAAACTATAATGAAACTAGAATAGTAAGCATGATCCTGAACAGCTTAGTGGCAGAGGGGTGGGGAGCTGGAGACGGTTAAAGCTGAGGATGCCTTGAAGTTCTGTGGGTCTTACATTCCGTCTCTTCCTTGTGTGTGACCTTTGGGTCTGAGTAAGTACAGCCTGATGTTCAAGGCTCTTTAGGTAACCTGAAAAGAAAAGGATCACTTATATATGTCATTCCACTGGACATAAGGGGACACTAGTCCAGTGTTCTGTGGCTTTATTCCATGCTTCTCCGGAAGAAAGCAGGGTAGAGGAGGCTTCTGAAGTCCACCATGTCCCTGTGACTAATGCATCTAGTGGATAGAGAAAAAAAAAAGCTTCCTCAGGTGAAATTCCAAGGACTTAATCCAGAAGATCCTGGAGTCTATGTGCCTAATGGGCATAAATAAGGAGGATGCCTAAAGACCCAATTCAGACTTTCCACATTCTAAAGCCTTTGGAGAGGACTTTTACCTGGTCACTGGTGCTTCATGATGCAGTGGCCTCTGCTGGGCAGGCTCTCTTCCCCTCAGAGTTTGTAGGCTTCATCAAATACACTGGTAGAAATGAAAGCAAATGCAAGCACAAAAATGCTGTCTGTATAGAAACCGTGACTTCAAATTCTTACTCTTTATTCTCCCATTTCCTACCAACATTTCCTTGAGAGCAGAAGGCACCCATCTGCCCTCAGCCACTCCAACCTCTTTCCCACCCACCTCCTGTCTACCCTCACTCTCAGTGGCAGCAACTTGGATGTGAATAGGAAGAATACAGGGACCCTCTTATAAGAGGGACTTGGGGTACCTGCATCTGCCCAGGGTTTAGCAATCCAACCCTTCACATAAAGGCCCCATTCAGACCACAAAGCAGTGACTCTGGTCTTCTGTTTTACATGTTGCCCTTGGCTTCTAGGACCAAAGCAGATGAAAAAGGGATAAATGGTGACCTGTCCTGCCTGGCTGTTGAATGTATCCATGTCTAAGCAGCACTGACAGGAAAGGGCACTTTACATTTACCCCGAGGACAAGGAACTGGGCACTGCCAGCTCATCCTGTTACTTCATTTCCACCCTCAGTTTGTGGATAGAGCTGGCCAGTTTCATAGAGGCTGTGCGTATTGTCCAGGGTAGCATTGGGTATGGGGAGCTAAATAAGTATAAGAACTGAGTGGGTGTGCTCACAAAGCTATTTCCTTCCCTTGAAATCAAACTTGATTAAAAACACGTTAGCCCTCGTCATCCCAGGGCCAGCACTGCCCAGTACAACCATGCAGATTGTGATCTGTCTGTCTCTAGTGTCACCACCGTGGGGATCTGTGCTGATGGCACAGTGTGGGGTCATCAGTGCCCCACCCGTACCTACAGTGAAAAGAAATTTGGCCAAATCAGTAATTTCCTGTTGGAAGTGGGTACAGTGCTTCAAGCCTATACTCCCAACATGTGGGAGGTTGAGACAGGAGGATTGCTAAAACCATTTAAAAAAACAGAAATAATAAAATAAATAAATAAACAAACAAACAAATAAATAAATAAATAAATAAATAAAAAATAAACAAACAAAACTTTAAAGCAGTCACCCCAAGCACAGTTTCCCAAGTTTTCAGTGTTCTCACTTGGTTCAACAGAAACTTCAGTTTGCAAGTCATTGTTGCTTATTAGCTGATGTGCGCACCTCATCTGCTTCCAGGGAGTTTATGGCAGGCAATTTATAACACCCACCTCAGAACCAGGAGCCAAGCATTGCCTTCAGGGAGTTGAACTCGCCGTGTGAGAGATCCGCAGTGTGAGAGACTTCTCAGCGGCATGGGGGCCTTAGGAGTGCTTCCCTCCAGCAAAAAAAAAAAAAAAAAAAAAAAGTCTAGGTAGGCATCGCTAAGCTCCTCTCAGTGTCTCTCCCAAGATCTGGCAGGGACAGCCCAGGTCTCGGG